TTCGCTTAGAGGCAGCATTCTGAGCCTAGACTTAGGCCAAAGGATTACATTACTGCGAAACATTCAGCACTGGGTCACAGACAATGCTTCAGTCTAATGTCTGCTGCAAAACCTGAGCATAAATGCTGCTTCTCTGTAGCTATCATTTGAGTACTAACTGCCTACCCATTGGTCACCCATCCAAATTGGGGTCCACCCATTTCCGATGGCACTACTGCTTAGCAAGTTGAATAAAGAAAGGAAAGAAGCAAAGTAGAGGCAATGCAATAGCCCAAGAGAATGAGTATTACACAAAGATATTTGGCTAGGCTGCAGGAGTTGGCAGTAGCACATGTTTCCTTTACATCTTATTTAGGTGAACATGATTAACTTCATACTTGCCTTGAATTTAATTGAATGACAATTTGTGCAACAATCGTTTACTGGCAGCTTGTCGCTGTCTCGAGGACGCAAAAAAAATGTAGCTGTAATTTGTGCAATTCTGGAAATAAAAACTCAAATTAGTTGCCTTTGATTCGCATGTCTTCAGTGCCTCCAACAGCCTCCCAGCTTACCTATCTCAACGAAAAACAAATGCGTGCTTATGGAAGTCTTTGTATCGGCAATTCTTTGATCGGCAACTCAACAGGATCGAGTCTCACAAACACGGAAATTTATTTAGTAGCATGGAAGCGAAGAAGAAGCGAGTTAAATTGAGCGCACTCATCGACTGGTTAAAAGTAGCCCTGCAATGCGCTTTTCACTGCATCTACCCATCTCCATGGTAAAAGATCTTCCGCTGCAGCTATCTCCACTCACAGCAGCCATTAACCTCAACATCAGCATCGCCAGCATCTCTGAACCACAAACCAATCACCACAGACAACAGGCTGAATCGCCTATCGGCTACTTACTCTCAATCCTCTTCTCTCAGGCCTGTAGAGTTGCAGTCAAATGTAAGACTGCTAGCTCAACCATCCTTTATCTACCCCAACTCTTTAACAATGCACAACGCACATAGTGATTTGTCCTACGTCGCAACCGAAGTATAGCATGGCAAGGATCAGAAACATTTCAATTCCACAATAAACACCGCACTTTAACTGCTCTATATCATCCTTATGTCATGCCTATTTCAATTCCTGGCACTTCATACGAGTCTCTTGTACACCCTTAGCTTTGGCAGAATTGAAATGCACAACTTCATCAATGCATCTTGTCCTTATTTGTTTGAGCAAATATGAACCGAAAGTATAACTATTAGCTCAAAGGGCTAACTTTGTAGGACTTATGTTACATTTTCATTGAAATTCCATACAACAAAGAAAATTCTCTTCACCCATGAAGCCATGTATTCACATAGGCAATAATTTCACAATAATTTCCACACGAGTATTTTTGATAGTGGAAGGTTTATAGAAGGCGCATAAATTCTTACTCAGGAAAAAAAGTAGCATGGAGATATACTGTTAATAGGAGTAAACAAATCTGTTTGAGGCTGCACCGTGTGAGGCAGGTTACATTTAAGTCTGAGCATATTAAAGGGCATTTGATATTCTTCTCGCCGTTTTGCCTTTCTACCTCAGGTTTTGAGCCTATCGAGTCTAGAATGCTATTTGAAAAAGGCATTATATATTGCGGTGTTATAGGACCATACAAATAATCAAAACTTTTTGGACAACCGGAGCCATTTGACTCCTTTGGGGTCCACGCAGCCCCCTCGGTCACGATTTGGCTCATTCTGCCACTTTACAATCTAAGGCGTGCACTAAAGCAAACTTTTATTATATAGGGGCAGAATAAACACAAGCTAACAGTTTTCTCATTCCCTCCACAAAATTAGGCATTATGGAAACGTCTTTTTAATAATCAACTATATTTAAATTCTCTGTAGCTATCATTTGAGTACTAACTGCCTACCCATTGGTCACCCATCCAAATTGGGGTCCACCCATTTCCGATGGCACTACTGCTTAGCAAGTTGAATAAAGAAAGGAAAGAAGCAAAGTAGAGGCAATGCAATAGCCCAAGAGAATGAGTATTACACAAAGATATTTGGCTAGGCTGCAGGAGTTGGCAGTAGCACATGTTTCCTTTACATCTTATTTAGGTGAACATGATTAACTTCATACTTGCCTTGAATTTAATTGAATGACAATTTGTGCAACAATCGTTTACTGGCAGCTTGTCGCTGTCTCGAGGACGCAAAAAAAATGTAGCTGTAATTTGTGCAATTCTGGAAATAAAAACTCAAATTAGTTGCCTTTGATTCGCATGTCTTCAGTGCCTCCAACAGCCTCCCAGCTTACCTATCTCAACGAAAAACAAATGCGTGCTTATGGAAGTCTTTGTATCGGCAATTCTTTGATCGGCAACTCAACAGGATCGAGTCTCACAAACACGGAAATTTATTTAGTAGCATGGAAGCGAAGAAGAAGCGAGTTAAATTGAGCGCACTCATCGACTGGTTAAAAGTAGCCCTGCAATGCGCTTTTCACTGCATCTACCCATCTCCATGGTAAAAGATCTTCCGCTGCAGCTATCTCCACTCACAGCAGCCATTAACCTCAACATCAGCATCGCCAGCATCTCTGAACCACAAACCAATCACCACAGACAACAGGCTGAATCGCCTATCGGCTACTTACTCTCAATCCTCTTCTCTCAGGCCTGTAGAGTTGCAGTCAAATGTAAGACTGCTAGCTCAACCATCCTTTATCTACCCCAACTCTTTAACAATGCACAACGCACATAGTGATTTGTCCTACGTCGCAACCGAAGTATAGCATGGCAAGGATCAGAAACATTTCAATTCCACAATAAACACCGCACTTTAACTGCTCTATATCATCCTTATGTCATGCCTATTTCAATTCCTGGCACTTCATACGAGTCTCTTGTACACCCTTAGCTTTGGCAGAATTGAAATGCACAACTTCATCAATGCATCTTGTCCTTATTTGTTTGAGCAAATATGAACCGAAAGTATAACTATTAGCTCAAAGGGCTAACTTTGTAGGACTTATGTTACATTTTCATTGAAATTCCATACAACAAAGAAAATTCTCTTCACCCATGAAGCCATGTATTCACATAGGCAATAATTTCACAATAATTTCCACACGAGTATTTTTGATAGTGGAAGGTTTATAGAAGGCGCATAAATTCTTACTCAGGAAAAAAAGTAGCATGGAGATATACTGTTAATAGGAGTAAACAAATCTGTTTGAGGCTGCACCGTGTGAGGCAGGTTACATTTAAGTCTGAGCATATTAAAGGGCATTTGATATTCTTCTCGCCGTTTTGCCTTTCTACCTCAGGTTTTGAGCCTATCGAGTCTAGAATGCTATTTGAAAAAGGCATTATATATTGCGGTGTTATAGGACCATACAAATAATCAAAACTTTTTGGACAACCGGAGCCATTTGACTCCTTTGGGGTCCACGCAGCCCCCTCGGTCACGATTTGGCTCATTCTGCCACTTTACAATCTAAGGCGTGCACTAAAGCAAACTTTTATTATATAGGGGCAGAATAAACACAAGCTAACAGTTTTCTCATTCCCTCCACAAAATTAGGCATTATGGAAACGTCTTTTTAATAATCAACTATATTTAAAT